CTCTTCCATATACATTGTAAAGGAGAGGCTAATCACTCAATTCTTATCTAATATTTTCATATTCAACCAGAGCTGACTATGTGTTAATTATAATATTTATTATTTAAAACTGTTGTGATTTTAGAACTGTTACTGATAGATTTGCATTAGGAGTAGAAAGAAAAAATAACCAAGTCATAAAATCCTAAGGCTGAATTGCATGGTCAATGCATTCTTAAACATATAGATAAATCAAATATTAGGATGGCATTATTAGAAAAGTTTTCCCATATGCCAAAACTGGTTTGCACTGCAACAGTTTGAAATATTTTTTCCTGAGCTATATAAATCACTCACAAATATCTGTTAGCAGTCTGTGCCTGCACTACTATCTTCCTATAATAGAGTCTGTTAATAGTTGGTAGTAATTTACTGTGTGGTGTGTTTCTTTAAACGGACAACTTCAATTTTATTCTCATATGCAAATACTGCTTGAAAATATAATTTTTAAAGTAAAGATAGGTTTCATTCTCCCTGTGTCTAAAAAATTCAAGCAAAAGAATAACACAATTTATTTGATCATAATTAAAGACCATGAAGAAAATAATGCAATGGAAAGCAAAGAATGAAACTGGACATTGTTTTTTGAATAAGAGAACAGACAACTATGGCATGATTTAATTTATAATTTGATTGGATAATAAACCGATTCTAAATTAAAGACAAACTCATATGGAAATGTTTGAATTTATGAGAAGAATCACAAGTTTTTCTAGACCCATATACATTACCAAAACTTTGACCTTAAACCCTAATGTTCTTGGCAAGCTTTCCCAAAGGTAAATGAATATGCCAGACTTTGTGGAAGATGTTTTTCATAGGTAGCTTTTGAATCCTTGCTTATATTCAATCACTTTCTTTAAATAAGGTTACACAGATTTAACCTTGGATAGTCAGAAGGACCTTTCAAAATGTTTTTAAGTTGAAACAAGGAATGTTAGGGGATGTTTCTCAATTTATTTCTCTAAAAATACATAATTTAAAGATTCTTTAAAGGATAGATATTCAACTATTTCAATTCTGAATCATCTTTAAACTGCCTTTTATATTTAACCTTCATCTATGGCAGTGTTATTGTCCTTCACATAGAACATCAGGAACAACATGCATTACAGTATCGTCATGGTTACTTACCAGTAAGTAAATTTAAGTAAATTTAAGGAATATGTAGGTAGTATAGTATTAACTGGACATAAAACAAAGCAGAAAGAGAGGAGTGGAACAGAGAATGGGGTTATAAAGAAAGTTTGGGCTAGATTGATAGTACAGTGGGTAAAGCACTTTTCTTGCACACAGCTGACTCAGATTTGATCTGAGACCCCATATGGTCCTCCAAGCTCTCCAGGAACGATACAGCTTAGGTCTTAGAACACAAATTGGCAGCAAAAAAATGTGACCAGGGGAAAAAACAGATTAAAAAGTTCAGGGTTTTCTAGATGTAGGGGCAACATGGGTAAAAACAGAATAGGAAACTCTCATACTATTACTCTGAACTTTAAGGATGCCTGTTGATTGGCTATGTCCAATGTCCCAGTCTCTGTTCTTAGTGTACTCATTGAATTTTGATATCCTTACTAACTGTTCTTAATATCTCTCGCAACTTAAAGAATAACTCATATGCTAAGAACGAGGGTGGGAGAGAAATATTATACTGAACAAACAGCCATCTTATGAGTTTATTTGGAGCTGCTCAGGTGAGAAAAAAGTTTGGAGACTCTGTGTATTTGCCTCCTTATGAGTTAGTCTCATTCTTTACTTGGTGCCAATCCAATTAGCATTGGACTTTAAATTCTACTCAAATGAACCAAAATCACAATTAATTAACTAAAGAGCTGAAAATGTTACCTAAATGACAGTCATCATTGTAGGGAGAATTGGTGGATTTATTTCAAATGAAAGGAGGATACATTCCACTTGAGAGCCTTTCTGGTGCACTATAGATGTACTCTTGCAAGTGTAAAAATGAAAAAGAGGGAAAGCAAGAAAAGGAGAGAATAAGAATACATTCCTTATTTACTGAACTGGTTAAGGTTTTTAATTACCCTAAAGTTCCATTTTAAAACAAAATTTAGTTCACCGTTAATCAAATAAAGGATACTATTGAATAAACCTCACTACTTTACCTAAATATGTAGAAACACTAACATGACTATTTAGCAAATGTGGTATATTTCATAATGTCATGATATCTACTGCACTGCTGCTATTCACAGCAAATGTGATCTTTCTAGAAAAAGTTATGCATTATTGAAATTAAAATCTGGTATAGGTCAAAAAGTGAATTTAGTGGCCTAGAGTCTTGACAAGCTGACATTTACTCGAGTTACTAAAACCCATCTAGAATAAGCAGTCTAGCTCTTGGACTGCGCTGCAGGGAAACAAGTTTAAATTGGAATGAATTTTCAGAACTGTTATATAGACTAAGTGTCTAGCACTGCCCATTACCTCCCCCAAGACCATGCCTCTACTCCCCTACCTATGACACACCCCACGTCATCTCTGCTTTCAAACTCACACAAGATGGCTTTATCCGAACATCTCTGTTGACATTAATGTCTGCACTTGATTAGGTTTTGTGCTGGTGGTTTTGAAACTTTAATTATCTGAAAAAAAACTTTACCAAATAAAAGCCCCACTCCCCCAATACAAGTTAAAAGAGTACAAAAGCTCTGTTTATACTTAAAGATGTGTGGTTTACCCCAATACAAATGTAATGGATTTACAATATGTATCTTGACAATAATACAAAAATTTACCTTTTTATCCAAGTAGAATTTCTCTTTAATTATTCTACATTTAGTACAAGATATTTTGGGTTACTTATTAATGATGCATAACACATTTCAATCCTATTTCCTCTTATAGTTGCTATATGGAAAACAGTTTTGCCAGCTCATAGTATTGTTTAAATAAAATGCAAAATAAAACTATTTAAATTCCTTCATAATCTATGTAAAGTTCTAAAATTACAACCAAATATTACAATATTAAAAATAATCATCTGGTGGCAGGTTGATCTTGTATCAAGAATAATAACCACAAGCTATGAATTCTATAATTGTAACAGAAAACTGGAATTTTAAATCAGATGTAATGACTCCTGGAGAGAAAATATGCACTACAAATTTTCTGCTAACAAAATACCAGGTACAAATATTTAATTAAAACACACTAAAAATTCCATTTATAATAGATGAACTAACAGAAAATATATAACTATCCTTAGACACAAAATTCACATCAGGGCTGTCTTACCAGTTCTCATCTGCTTCAGCACAATTTACATAACTAAAATGGGAAAAGGTGGAATTCCTTAAAATTTAAAAAAAAAAAAAAACTAGTGAAACTGCTGAAACTGCTGACATTTTGGACAGCTCCCGACTGATTTTTTTTTTCTTTTTCTTAAAAACAGTGATACTATTGTGTGTTACTTTCATTTTCTCGCCTTTGCCAGAAACCACAGTTTCTGTACTTTATTTCTGTTGTATTGTGTTTTGGGGTAAAAGACTACTCCAGCTGAAAAGATGACGGAACTACAAAGCAGGAAAGTGCTGGTCTCAGTTCAAGATCCCTCTCTGCGTCGAGCCAATTTTTATTTTACCAGACTGGAGCTGGCAAGCTGGGAGATGCCCTCTGCACTTCCATTCCCCGCAGCCACCGTATCGAACCATCAAAGCCTCTTTCCGCCTGCGCCAGGGTGGGGGCAGTTCGCTAGAGCCCAGGTAACTTTCCAAAACGGAGACTCCAACCAAGACAACGGACCACGCGTTTAAAAAAAAAAAAAAGGCCAAGAGTAACTTTGTGCGACCAGAGTAGGGGCCGAGGAACCACTGCCCTGAGCTGCGGAGACTCAGACTTTGGCCGGGCAGCACCACACATTGGCAGCAGCGCTGAAAATTCGCTTTCTGCGGAAAGCCTGGCGGCGTCGGTGGGACTCTCCCTTGGCTTTAACAGATAAAATAATTGAATGCAAAAATATCAAGGCGTTGGCACAAGAGCGGGCTTGGTCACACTTGCTTGCACTTGGCGATGATCTAGGTGGGTTGCCCAGGAGGAGCTGGAACTTTCTCGGAGGGCGGAGCCGCAGGGCAGAGGGTCGCTGTGCCCGCACGCCAGGCTGGGTCGCGGCCCGGAATTCCGAGGGTCCACCTGGACGCGCACCCCAGCTCCGCCCCGCTAGGATTGGGCTCTCGAGAAGCAGACCCCACCCCAGCCTTGCCCAGGAGCCGTCTCAGAGTGGGACATTCTCCATTCCCAATTCTGAGCTCCTGAAAAGTGCGGCGAGTTTCCTACAACAGGGCGTCGGACCTACAAAAGTCGCCACTCCCGCAAACGGGGTTTCACTCCCCCTCCGACTCTTTTCCTGCGCTTCTTTCTGCGCCCAGGGCCAACCCGGACTGTCCCCTCCCACGCCTCTCCCTCCCTCCGGCTCAAAGTGAGACTTTGGGGAGCTGCAGGGCAAGGCGACTGTCCCCTGACGCGCGAGATCCACAGCTCCCTCTTTTGATCTTTTCATCGGGGCACCAAAGTTCAATTTGTCCGGCTCCTGCTGAGCCACGGTGGACAGACCAGCGAGTCTAGGGAGCTAGCGCCCCCCGCCACTCCCCCGCCCCGCTGAGCTTGGAGCCCCCCATTCCCTCCACCCCGGCTCCAATTCCTAAAGGACGCTGGTTCACGCGACGGGGGACCCACGGCGCTCCTTGCAAAGTGACCCGAACCGCGGGCGCACACACACACGCACACTCACACACTGTCATCCCCGCGTTGTCAAAGTCGGCCGACGCGCAGCGGAGGACGCACGAGCAGGAGTGGCACGGCCACGGGCATCAGCGTCCCCGTGCGCGGTCCGGGTCCCAAACACCCTTGTGAGGGTGCCCCTGGCACAAAGAGCTTTGTAACCTCCCCTGAAGAGCACCCGAGTGGTCCCGGGGCCGCGTGCGCGCTGCCGGGCCGGACCTTACCGGCGGGGCGCGCGCTCTCCAGTCGCTCGGATTGCTCGCGGGCCACGGGGACGCCGCAACCAGGGTCCCGGAGATGCTGCTGCTGCTCCGCTACCGCTGCCCGGATCCCCGGCGCCAGCATCACTTCTCTGCCGCCGCCTCCTCCTCCACCTCCTCCTCTTCCTCCTTCTCCTCCTCCTCGTGCTCTGCTCTCTCGGCCGCCCCTCCCCGGCGGCCGCTTGCAGGACCGGCCGCGCTAGAGGCGCGGCGCAGAGGGGTGGGCAGCAGCGGAGGCGGCGGCGGCGGCGGCGGCGGCGGCAGCGGCGCCCGCGCGAGCTCGCCCGCCTGTACCCGCTCTCGCAGCCGCCGCGGCAGCCCGAGCACCCGAGCCCGGCTGCGCTTACCGGGAGACGGCTCCGGCCTCGGCGACTGACAACGGCCGGCAGCCAATCAGAGCCTCGCCCCGCGCGACGGGGGGAGACCAATCAGAGCGGAAGGCCCAAGGTTTTCCTCCGCCTTTGCTCAGCAGCCTTGTTTCCGGGAGAGGAGGCGAGGCTGCCGGGTTTGGGGATGGGGGGTGGCGCGTGAGGGGCGCGGGGTAGGCGGGGTGGGGGCGGGGGGAACTTTTGACCCGGGAACCGTAGGTGCCGGGAGCGACGTCCCTGCCGGGCCCTCCGAAGCTGGCCTGGGGAGGTTTCTGACCGCCCGGAGCATCCCGGGCTTGGCAGAAAAAAAGGTGTCCCGGGGTGTTGTGCGCCGGGAGCCCCAGGCTGGAGGTTCAGAGTCTCGGCATCCCGGTGCGAGCGATCGTGGGACCTGAGGACGCTCAGCGCGGCTGGAGGAATCCCAGGAGGAGGTCTCCGTCTGGAAGGAATCACGCGAACAGTCACCAGACAGCGCCCCCGTCCTCCTTCCTAGGGCACTTGGGAGGAGTGGTACTTGTGAGCCCGCCGACCGCTCCTCCGAGCCTCGGCCCGGAAGTGTGCCGAGCTCGCCAGGAGGCGCTGGGAGAAACATTCCCAAAGTTGGAGGGACAGAGGACGGTCCCTCCAGATATACCACTCCCCCGCCTTCTCTCTGTGGCGCGTGCACACACCCGCCGCAATACCCTGAGAAGCAACGAGCTCAGACAAGCAACAGAGCCGGTTTTTCTTTTTCTTACTTGAAGATGTAGAGAGGGGTGTGCATGTTCCACCAGAGAGGAGTGTGCGTGCCTGCGGTTGTAAGGGTCCCACCAGAGAGCTACGGTGATTTAGCAAGAAAAGGAGAAAAAAAAAAGGAAAAGTGACATACTCTTTTCCCACACCACTATCTCCTCCAAACTGTAATGATCTACCCTGGTAAAGCAATTTAAGTCTCTTCAGTGCAAAACATGTCTAAATGGTCCAACTCCTAAAAAAAGTTCCTGGAAAAAAGTAAACTAAGCTCAACATGAGGCTTTAATAGTAAGTGCCCTCTCTTGGGGAACGTTTATACCAATGTTACAAAGCTGTCAGGGTGAAAAATGGATGCATGTAAAGCAAATATCCAGTTGCCAGACTAGTAGTTGGGATTCAGTGTGCTGGACATGCTGCTACAATTGTTTCTAGTTAGGTGTTAAGTGATCCTTTTCTGTTTTGCAATAATCACCTATTTCTTCATTTACCTCTCTCTTAAGATAATTTCTTATATTCTGTGATACCCAAAATAAGTGCTGCCTAAATTTCATGAGTATTATATGGAATATTTGATCAGAGTCAAAGTTATGTAATTTCAGCTTTGCTACTAGAAAATGTCTGTGTATCTACATCGTTCTTTGTAATTTTCTTCTCCCTTTTCAGACTTAATCATTCTAGTTTGGGAGCAGGATCACCTCTCTGTCTCTCTCTCTGTTTCTCTGTTTCTCTGTCTCTCTCTCTCTCTCTCTCTCTCTCTCTCTCTCTCTCTCTCCCCCCCCTCCTTAAGAAACCAACAGTGCTAAAACATACATAGTGATGCAAAAGCTAAAAGCAGAGATGCACCCTATCACTTTAATTTTTCCTTCTTCCCTTCCCTGGTTTCCACTGCAGTGGGTAGTTCACACTTGAATCAAGTGCTCCAGTACTTATTCTGGAGCAGCTGAGCTCCTGATAGAAGAAACACTAGGATGGAGATGTTTATACTGAAGATCAAACTTGGTGCCAAGGTCTCAGTGATGGCGAAACAGGTGCTCTACTACTGAGCTATTTCCACATAACCCCTTTGAATTTTTAATCTAAATAATTTTTGTGTAGTTTTGTTTATCAATATTGTTTGCTTTTTTATTATTGTACTATATTAAATAACATCAATACCTAATTAGCTTTATGAGGTTATCAATAGAGAAGTGGAGTTTGGCTTTGACAGAGAAAGAAAAGAGTGTCTTATTCACATTTGATAGAGAAACAGGAGTTGATACTTGAAAATGTACAAATACTAAAACTTAAATCTTAAATTGGAAATGTCTAATTAAATAACAATCTAGATCTCTGAAAGGAGATAAATTTAGAATGTTTTTTGTCAAAATACTAATCTTGACTGAAGAGGGTATGTAAAATATGAATTTATCAAACTTCAGAATGTTGTAGGCTATTTAGGAAATTGGGCCGAAGCGATAGCACAGCAGGTAGGGTGTTTGCCTTGCACATGACTGACCCAGGTTCAATTCCTCCGCCCCTTTTGGAGAGCCCTGCAAGCTACTGAGAGTATCTTTGCCCGCTTGGCAAAGCCTGGAATGCTACCCGTGACGTATTCGATATGCCAAAAACAGTAACAAGTCTCACATTGGAGACATTGCTGGTGCCCGCTCAAGCAAATGAGAGGACAGTGCCACAGTGCAGTGCTACACATATACAGATATCTATATAATCATTCTAACTAAAACGATTTCCTGCCAACTTTATTCCAACATCTAGTACTTTTTCATGTTATCATTATTTTGCAACAAACAATTTTGAAAATATAATAGCCCTATGGACCATAATCTTTAACAATTAAAATAATTTAACGACAATATCATAAAAGCAGGGCTGGAGCAATAGCACAGTGGTAGGACATTTGCCTTGAGAGCAGCCAGCCTGGTGAGCCAGGTTCAATTCCTTTGTCCCTCTCAGAGAGCCCAGCAAGCTACCGAGATTATCTCACCTGCACGGCAAGCCTGGCAAGCTCCCCGTGATGTATTGGATATGCCAAATACAGTAACAACAAGTCTCAAAATGGATACGTTACTGGGTCCGCTCAAGCAAATTGATGAACAACAGGAAGACAGTGACAGTGATCATAAAAGCAATAAAGGTAAAGGTAAAGGCCCTCTCCCGTTGATCGTCGATTTGCTTGAGCGGGCCCAGTAACGTCCCCATTGGAGACTTTGTTGTTACTGTGTCTGGCATATCGAATACTCTCGGTAGCTTGCCGGGCTCTCCGAGAGGGTTGGAGGAATTGAACTCGGGTCGGCCATGTTGGCCGCTTGTAAGGCGAACGCCCTACCCGCTGTGCTATCGCTCCAGCCCTCATAAGATGGTGAACTATGCCTGGGCAGGGCGAATCCAGAGGAAACTCTGGTGGAGGTCCGTAGCCGTCCTGACGTGCAAATTGGTCGTCCGACCTGGGTATAGGGGCGAAAGACTAATCGAACCATGTAGTAGCTGGTTCCCTCCGAAGTTTTTCTCAGGATAGCTGGCGCTCTCGCACGACCACCCACGCATAAAAGCAATATGTTAAAGAAATTCAATAGTGTACATACAGATATAATAGTAACATCTCATACTATTAGTGTTAAGTATGTAAAGATCTGAGTATAAAATACCGTACAATTAATAAGTCACTAAGATTGAAAACCATGAAATAGTTCAAATCAATAATGATATAAGTCAATAAAAAATTAAATAGATTAAAATATTGCATGTTGATGTTAGGCGTTATGCATTGCTATAAATTTTGTGTGCTGTGTTTGACGGAAAGTCCAATATTAACTATGTGACTAATTATATTTAAATAGCTTTTCTGTTTCTTTTCTTTCACTTATTTATACCTTATCACATATAAGTATTCTGTATCATATGTAAGTAATTCTGTGTTCTCCCCATAGAATGAGAAAACTCACTCAATTTGTTAATGTAGAAAATTTTCTTTGGCATGACTTAATCAATAACTACTTGCACGGTCTTAACAATATTTAAAATAATTTTATAGTAAATGATGCAAAAATCCATATCAAGGATGGAAAATGAATATTTCATTAGTCAGTTCCAACAAAAGCTACAAATATCAGAGAAAAAACTGAATAGAAAAAGAAAGAAATCAGTCTAGTTTCAGCTCTACATGGTGAGTAATCTCAGGTCAGTCATTTGAAACTTTCCCAGCGTCCTTATCTGTAAAATAAGAATTTAAAACAAAATAAGTCTTTTTCAGATGTGAGGATTGATTTATAATTGGAAATTCAAACCATAACGGGCTTTCTTGCAGAAAAGTCTTTCCAAAATTTGGTAGAAATCTGGAATGTAATGATAATTTTGCCATTTTTGTAAGCTTGCTTTAATTCTCAAATGCCCCATCCATTAAGGATCCATAGTACCTATTTCTACAAATACACAATAAGTTCCAATGAATGTCATTGACCAATTTTACAATAAATCAACTATCAAGTGTACTTTTTTTGATGTTTAATGAGAATATGTTTTCCCACTGTTCTTTCCATCTGCCACTTCCAATTTGATATAAATGTTTAAGTTTAGAAAACTAACAGTTTAAATGAAGTACAACATATTAATTTTAATATTGGATGGAAAAAATGTGCCTATAATAAAGCTATTTCCCGTGTGGGATAGGAGTATACTGGGGTTGTTGGTGGTGGAGAATGGGCACTGGTGAAGGTATGGGTGATTCATTGTATGACTGAGACTTAGATACGAAAGCTTTGTAACTGCTCTCATGGTGATTCAATAAATAAAATTATAAAAAATGAAATAAAAAGTAAGGTGGAGTTCATGCACAATTCAATCAGCTAATCAGTGGCTGAATAAATAGCAGTACTCCTACATGAAAAAAAAAGGTATTTCCCAAAAAAGTTAAATTATTTATATAATTCCAAACACATAAAATCCCGTTTTTATATTTAGAACTCGAAGACATCTTTTGCTTTTTTCATTTCGGTTGTTTTGTTTTGGGGGGTTATTTTATTTTATTTTTGCTTTTGGCTTCTGGGCCACACCACCAGTGCTCAGATCTTTCTCTCGTTCTGTACTAAGAGATCATTCCTGGCAGACTCAGAGAATTGTATGTGGTGTCCAGGATCAAACCTAGGTTCACCAAA